GGATTTCGTCCGAATTTGGTACGAAGTATCCTTGGGTGAAGGGTATAACCGGTGTGTCTGACTCCCCTAGGGTAAGAGAGGCGGGGCCCAATAAACGATACAGAGGCATAGATTTAATATCCTTTTTCTTCCGTTAGGATGAAGGTATTTTGACCAAATTTGAACAGTGGCATCCTATGAGGAATGGAAATAATGTTGTGTAAATCGTGGGTCTGACCCCCCCGGGGCCTGAAAAATGGGGCACAAAAGAGGTGATTTTAAAAATTATTGAAAATTCTTGTAGGAATAACAGGATTTGTCCATATTTGGTCTAAAGCATCATTGGGTGAAGGAGACCTGATTTTGTATAAAAAGTAGGTCTGACCCCCATCGGGGCAGAGGGGCGGGGCCCAATAGGGAAAACTAGCAAATTCTCCAAAATCCTCCTTTTCCTGTAGGAATGACAGACTTTTGTCCATTTGCATATACATATAACCCCTGGCTTACCATGTAATACATGTACACTACCAGCAACATCTAGCTATTCCAACTTCAATTTTGCTAACATTCCAGTTGAGCGATACAGGCCCTCTGGGCCTCTTGTTCAATTTACCAACTGTTTAAGAATGAAAACGCACACGTAGAGGCAGACTGAAAGTGAACCTATCTATTTATGGATCAACACACACATATGTAACATCTCCCTTTCTTTAAGAGATATTTTTCTGACTAGAGTGTCCCTGACTAGCTTCTTCTTAAAGTAAAGTAATATATTGATTGGAGTAATTCCTAGTATAACAATGCATAAACTCTGTTATTGTCCTTCCACTCCGAGTGGTAATCGGTGGTGTCTTTGGAACATTCCTGACACAGACAGGATTATCCTTTATTGGTCTGGTATTCACAACCGTCTCCTTCATGGCCAGAGATGGTTTAGGTACCACTTTGTCCATATTTCCTTGTCCATCAGAGTACAGATCTTGTGGGGTTTCATCTTCAGCGTTGTTGAGGCCACGAAGAAATTTTCTATTTCTTATGTACAATTTACCGTCTACATCAACCACACATGGTCTTGTTCCTACCTGATCTACACATGTCCCTTTTGACCAAGATTTTCCTCTGTCCATCCGAACAGGTTGTCCAATATCTAAGGGAGGGATCTGCGTTCGTAGTATAGTTTGGATCGTTGTAGCCTGTGTTTCTTTCTCAGTTCGATGTCCTCTACAACTTGAGGTTGTAGCAGTGCTGCTGTTATGGGGAGTGAACCCTTTGTTCTTCTGGACGCTTGGCTGCACAACATACCTTGTGTTGGTGTGTTTCTCCATTCTAGAATGGCTTTCCACGTATCCTCATTGGCTTTGTAGCATTTTCTTTAGGATGTGTTTTGCTATTTTTACGGCGGATTCTGCCTTTCCGTTTCCAAAACTGTGGTATGGAGATGATGTCGTGTGAGTGATTTCCCACGTCCTTGTAAAATCTCCAAATTCAGACGACACAACTTGGGGTCCGTTGTCAGACATGATGATATTTGGCCACCCATGTCTGCCTAGGATGTCGTGTGTGATGAGAGGTTCCCGGGCTTGCTGACCTTCAAACCCAAGGCAAGCATCACGTTTCTGAATGTGTTCGTGAATGTCCCGAGACAAGATGGGCCAAAATATAGAGTCACGAGCCTTCCTCAAGGATGACGCGATCCTGAGATGACTAGAATGTATCCTCGTCGACATTTCTGACCTCAAAATCTTTGGAATGATAACGCGATTTCCTTAAAATAGTATCCCGTTATGAATTGTCAGTTCATCGCGAAAGTTTCAGGAGTCCAGGCATGTCACTGGAACTTCTGTCTTAGTTTCTGGCCAGCTTGACAAAATGACGGATTTCATGGTCTGTAATGCTTCATCTTGAGCCGTCAGCTTTTGTATCTGATGAAGACACTGTTGTTGACATAAAGTGATTTAAGTGATTCCTTCACCTCAATATACTCCAGCTGTTTTTAGAACTTTGAGGTTGACGCATTGAATATCTGTTCATCTGTTCTAAGAACACTGTCTGACTTGACCAGTAGTAGGAATGCTCTTAACAAGGTGTCTGTCACATACATTTCAGTTCCTTTCTGATTATTCAACTTTTATGTTGAACTTCTGTAGCCTTAAGATCATGCACTGGAGGCGCTTCGGAGCTGCTAGCACTAATTTATAGAATACAACCTCCAGTGGGTTGTGACCAGAATGGACGGTGATCTCGCGTCCTAGAATGTATTGTTCAAATCTTTCACAGGCGAACACTACGACAAAGCATTCTTTTTCTATCTGTGCATATCGTTGCTCTGTTTGAGACAAAGCTATGGATGCATACGTAACTGGTAGTCCTTCCTGCAACAGGGCTACACCCAAACCAAGTTCACTGGCGTCACACTGGACGCTGACCTCTTTGTGAAGGTCGTAGTACTTAAGTGCTGGCTGTGTTGTCATTGCTTCCTTGACTTTCTGAAATGGATCCTCCTGTTGGGATTGCCATGCCCATTCTGTATCGTTTGCTTTGAGTCGTCTCTATAGCTCGATCATCTCCGACAAGTGTGGAACAAACCTGGTGAGATATGTGACGAAACCGACTAAGCACTGTATTCCTTTGACATCCGTTGGTCTAAGCATGTCTGTGATCGTTTTCACAGGGTTCGGCTTTACTCCGTCCGAGGTAAACATATGACCCATGTATTTCACTTCGGTTTTTCGCAAGTTTATTTTGTCTTTATTTAACTTCAGGCCAACTTTCCTTGCTCTCTCCAAGACATTTATCAGGTTCCTATCATGGTCATGTCCGGCTTCCTCGATTGTTAAACCACTACCATAGATGAGGATGCCATATACTAAAACGTCTGCCCCCATCAGGTCCTTTAGTGATTCATGTTGTCGTCTCTGGAACTCCTCTGGCGCCGATGGCATTCGCAGCCATCTGTTGCGCCCAAAGGGTGGTCAGGTAGCTGCTTTGTGTGTCTAATGCCACCTGCCAAAAACCATCTTTGGCGTCAAAGACTGTAAAAGCCCAGGCGTCGGACAGGTTAGGAAGTATGTCCTCTACAGTACTCATGGGATAGTGTGGCCACTTAGTTGCATCACTCACGGTCTAAGGATCTATGCATATGTACAGTTTTCCTGACGGTTTTCTTACTGCTACCATGCTGCATATCCCACCGTCGGTCCAGTGACCTTTGTGATGACACCTCGGTCTACCAGTCTATTTATCTCCGCATCATGGCTTCTAGGACTTTCCTCAGATATTTCTGTACTGGTTTTACTGTTGGGCCAATCTCAACGTGGTACTCTCCATGTAGCTTACCCAATCCATCAAATAGGTCCTTGCAGTCCTCGAAGATTTGCTCTTTGGTAATGGGTGGATTCTCATTAGCCTCTACTCAGTAAACTCGATTGATTGTTAAGAGTACCAAAGCTTCACATGCGTCTCCTGACAGTATTTTTGGTTGGTCAACATCTACCATTTGAAATTCTAAAGTCTGTTTATTGTCTCCAACTGAACATTCAATCCTAGTTTTACCTTTAGGGTAAATGTGTGACTTGTCGTAAAGTGACAGTTTTGTATTCGAGTGACGCAGCTTCACCATTCTCCTTTATTTAAGAGCTTGAATAATCTCATGCTGAGCAGGTTACAGGTTGCTCCTGTGCCCAGCTGACATCTCATCTTTCTGTTTTTGTTTCCTAATGTCAGCCTCAGTGTTGTGAAGTACTGTATACCCTTTGTCTTTGTCACATTTAGGAGTGTTTCTGTGATCCTGAGTAAAGATTCATCAGTATCGGTATCATCATTCTCCTCTTCTACTGCATGTATTTTCTTTATTAAACACAATTTTGAGAAATGGTTCTGTTTCTTATAGTTATGACAGGTCTGACCAAATGCTTGGCATTTATGCTTATCTGGGGCATACTGACCTCCGCAATAGTTGCATCCTATGTAACTCTGCTTTGCTAGCTTGTAATGTTTACTCTCTCTCTTTCCAGCTCTTCTGATCAGAATCCTTTGCTCTCATGGCTGTGTTCCGCTTTTTTCGTACATCTTTAATGGTGTTTATCCACAGCATGCACTTTGTCTTCATGGTTAATCTTTTGCATATGTATGTCGGTCGTTTCGCTAGTCCTACACACAGTTACTGCTTTTGCGAGCGTCAGTTCCGGCTCACGTAACATGCGCGATCGGGCTGCTACATCCTTAGTCCCTAGAACTAGTAAATCCCGAAGCATTTCGTCCAGAGTGTCCTACATGATTCTGCTAGGCCTCTAAGCCTTGTGATGTATGTGTCAATGTTTTCGTTTGGCAGCTGATCGGCTGTGTTGAATAGCTAACGTTTGTCTAAGGTTCGAAATGTTTTTGTGAGGCTTCGAGTACTCGTTCTTTCTATTCTCTGTTGATATGACTAGGTTTTAGAAAATCGGCGAGTTCCATGGCTGTCTCAAGGTATGCCCGAAAAAACATCCAGTTGGCCTTAGATCCCCTTTCATATCCATTGCCGTGGGGGTGGGATTCCCTTAGATGCCGCCATCTCGAATTCCCCGCTCAAATGACAATCGTACGGGTGATTAAACACGTTTACAAACGTACTTCGAAATTGTCAAACACTCACCGTACTTGCAGGCGCTATACTGAGTCTCTTATTTAGGTTTGGCAGCTGTCGAAGGCTTCTGTTTGGCTTAGTGTTGCTTAAATTCTCCATTCTGATACCATCTTTTAAGAATGATAACGCTGATAAGACCATGCTACATTTATTGTGTACCACAAGAACGTCACCAAGTCACCAAAACTGGCGTATACATTATACTCGGCACACGTAGAGGCAGACTGAAAGTGAACTATCTATTTGAAGATCAACATACACATATGTCACACCAACTAATTATTATGAATTTCTTACTATTTATAGTTTATAAGATGGGTCTGTTTCCGGACGAAACTTCCTCCCCGCGTGACTTCCACACGATGAAATGGGTAGGTCTGGCGGTGGGCTGTCTCGCCAAATTTGTGACGGGTTCATTGTTTGTTTTCAACGTATACGAGGACGCTATTAAAAAAACATTCAACTTCACGCAAACTGAGGGTAAGTGATGTAAGCAGATCGTAGGTACACATATCACAGGACGGCAAATTGAAGAGATAAATATCATAGAACGGCAAATCGTAGGGACAAATATCATAGGACGTCAAATCGTAGGTAAAAATATCATAGGACGTCAAAGTGTAAGTACAAATATCACAGGACGGCAAAATGTAAGTACAAATATCATAGGACAGCAAATCGTACGCACAAATATCATAGGACAGCAAATCGTACGCACAAATATCATAGGACGTCAAATCGTAGGTACAAATATCATAGGACGGCAAATCGTAGGTACAAATATCATAGAACGGCAAAGATAATTGTAAATTAAGAAATATGCACCACATGCCTTGAATTTGCAGAACAGAAGAAAATGGTTAATTGATTGTAGCTGGAGGCTGTTAGCTTGTGAACGAGGAAGGGCTATCAGCCATCTGGAAGAAAAACATGAATTCTTATCTCCACGAGAACTCGTGGAAGGTTAAGGTATAGATCATTTCTATATCCTACTCCGCATCAGCCAAAGAGTCCAGTATCAGCCCGAGGGGGCGGAGTAAGATAAATTTTTTTATCATGTATTGCTCTAACATTAACAGTATTAGCAATAAACAAATAAAACACAGATACTATTTATATTTTATGAGCTCAACTATCATCAAAATAAAACATAATGAACTAATTGCAAATACACTACCAGTTTGAGGTGTGACTTTTCTGATTTTTTTTTCAACAAGAGGTTTAACGAATATGACCCGTGCCGGGCACATGGCCTCAGACCACAAATCGCTTTCGGGTCGTTGTACACGAATGTAGTGCATAAGGACATTTCAGGTCAGTTACTATATAATTTTTCCCGTCTGATCTATGACAGATATGTACATTTTTTTTTACATAGAATTGTTCAACAATATCTATTCTATTTATTTGTTATTTCTTGACATAGTTTTGAAGTTTGTATTCGCAGCAGGACACAATGAGTGATAAGGCTTGAGCATTGATATTTTGTGATTTTTGGTATTTTTCTCTATACATGCAGGGTAGTGACATTCAAATGAAATTATCTTTCTTAAATGCCGGTCATGAGGTACTTTCCAGCTCGCTGTAGGTTCAGTTTGAATAGATCTTCGATATGAAATAGGAACCAGACCATGTGCGAAGTTTAAAACATTTTTATTTATTTTTTCCTTTGATAGTGACATATAGTAGAATTAATTGTGGACTGAGGCCTGCATATGGCATGTGCTGGGAGGATATTGCGCGTGCCGGGCTGATATAAATTGGTCCGAGATATGGCCTATGTACAGCTAGCTTTATCACACATGCAAAAACCCCATATCACGGAAAAGTATATGTTAAGTAAGTGATTCCCTGAAAAGGTTAACGGAGGTAAACGGCAATTGAAAGCGAATTGGTGTGATAACTGTTCGAGTAGTTATTAGAGAATAAAACATTTTATCAGTTGGCCGTAAAATGTCCTCGGAAACAGTTGGGAAGCGTGCCTTACGAAAGGTTAAGACGCGAGTTGGAAAAGCGAAGAATGTGTTACTAGGTATGAAGAGATAATTAAGAAACTACCAACCACCAATATTAGGCAACATGAAGGGAATGGATGTCAAAACAAAGACCTGACTAAGCGACTAAACAGATATTTCTAGATCACGAAACAGTAAAATTGCTGATCTGTAACATTGGTTCACATCTGTAAACGACATGTATTGTAAAGAACGATAATTTTATTCACTTTACTTGTAGTTCAACTGCAGTCCTCCCTGCTGAACATTGGACTTGGATTTGGATTTGTCCCCGGCAAGTTCTATGACAACTTCGGACCCCAATGGACGTCACTAGGGGGCGTGATTGTGTCTGTGGTTGCCTACACTCTGCTTTGGAGTACAACAAAATATGTTACATTCTACAAAACCAAGAGCTGGTTGATGGCTATCTACTTCTTCCTGTCAGGTACGTCAAATACACAGTGTCAACGGCTGTCCATGTTACCGCTTATGAGTTTAGTTAGAAAGTACCATGCATTTACAAATTATTTCTTTTGAGTTAAGATTTCGTCATCAAAATTTTATGCGGTGTGTTTGTTAACTGGTTCATGTGAAAACGGAAACTATGAAAGCTTATTTCATCATGATATTTTAATTTCTTATCATGTCTTTTTGAACCATTTTTCAGGCCTGGGATCTGTTTTTACGTATATGGTGGCGCTAAACACAAATGTTATCAATTTTGACGAGAAACACAGAGGCAAAATTGTTGGACTACTTAATGCTTGCTTCGCCGGAAGTCCTTCTATATTCGCAGTAATTTATTATCACGTGATAGGAAATCCGTCAAGCAGCGAAAGCTTCACTACAATCATGCTGCTGTTTGCCATAGCGTTTGGTGTTACGGATATCATATGCATGATATTCCTGAGAATTTACCCCAAACCATTGGAGCTTTCAGAACACCGTGAAATGAAAACGAACATTTCAGTCGAAGATTCACAATCCAAGACTTGTTGTGATAATATGAAAAACAGAAGGAATAATGAGGGGACACCGCTCCGCGACCTTTTACGAAATGTTGACTATTATATCTTCACTTTGACGTTTACTTTCTCTTCTACTGTCGGGCTGGTCTATGTGGTCACTCTGACACAAACAACCGACGCTATGAACTTTTCGTCACACGACCCTGACGTGGTGCTAATCGTTCCAATCACGAATGCCTTGATCAGCGTTAGCATAGGTATATTCTCCGACTACTTCAGGGAAAGGTTTCCTCGGCTAGCCATCTTGATCGCAGGGTGTGTAGTTTTCACGGTGTGTCAGCTTATTATAGTATTGCTGGCAGACGGCTACGCTTGGATTGTGCTTGCGACTGTATTCTGTGGGATAGGCATTGGCTTGGTCTGGTCCATAGCTCCTACCGTTATGAGCGAGTACTTCAGTGTTGAAAACCTTGGACGGAACTGGGGTTTAGCTATGTTCTTTGGGTCTTTGGTGGGCTTGGGAGCGCAGGAAAGTTTTGGTGCTTTTTACGATGCTGCTAAGAAAGACCCTGGTGACTTAAACTGTTACGGGATCGAGTGCATTCGCAGAGGACATGCAGTAGTGCTTGCGTCTGGCATTGCATCCATTATTCTTGGCGTAATACTCTTAATCAAACGGCGGAATTTTAGGCCAAATGGATTCGAGAGGTTTTGATACACTTCGGCATGAATCCTGAGATTTCGAACCCTAAATTCGAAGTTGGGTCGTATTAATTGATCTCATTGTGACATGCTAATCTAAATGCCTCATTATTACACCGTGTCGGGTATTAAAAATAGGGAGTTCAGAAATGTGCTTTAATTTATGGTGTGATCTTTGCATCATCTTTTTAGTCATCCTAGATTGTTTTACTCGATTATTTTGAAGTTTCCAAGTTTGCATTGATAATTTGCTCGCTGTAATAAGCATGGGGAAATGAATAGGCTACGCATGACAAAACGACTGAGAAAACTAATTTTAAATACATTATTTCATGATACCACAAATTTGCCAATGAACGCATTATCAACATGTCTTTATAGGGAAATTATTGCTTATTATAAAGACAGGTTCCCCCTTTTACCATTACGTTAAACATTAAGTACACGTATAGTTATAAACACACTCCTTATATGAGACGATTTTCTATGTCTAGTAGATTACCGTCTGCCCCCCCCCCCTTTTTTTTTACGAAACCCCCATTTTAGTTCCAAATTATTCATCGTTTGTCTAATGAACATCTGTCGTTAATTGACGGAAAGTGCCCTGCTCTGGTTGTAAAAATATTCAGATTGTATATACTCCTGAGTAAGCCGTTTGAGATCCGATAACGTTTCCCATCAGTTTAAAAGTAGTTCGCTGCGAAGGAGTTAAAGTTTCATTTTTTTACAAGAGGAACAATGTGGTGGTGTATTTTACAGTTTCCCTTCACACTTACCAACAAAACCATTTGACATTACTTGGAGGGATACATGCAAATATTAAAAAAAAACTTTATGTCAAAACTTCTTGAAAATTGGTAAGGGCAATAAACGAGGGTATGGCTAATGAAACTAACAGAAACGTTTAAACTAATCAGAGCATGGTAACGTTTCCTCAGTAAATGACAATTGTTCTTAAATCAATTTCCAAGTTTTCTTTCTTCTGTTTTTGTGTTTGTTCAACTGTTATCATAATATATAAAAGAACTTCAACAAAACGTTATTTTATTTGTATACCTTATCACTTAATAAATAATTTTACCAACATAGACGTTTTCGGAGAATAGAATCGGTTTTGTCTGATCAGCCCAAATAAATTTATCATTATCATTACAATCCACTATATCGTAAGATCGACTTTAAGTACAAGCTCCGTACTGTTCAATAACAGATGGTGTTACAAATTATTATTTAAATGGTTGCAATGACGTAATTGTAAAAATGAACGGTGATCATATCTATTTTGAATATACGATAAAAACGGCAGAAACACCTACAGTGTTGTACAATTACAAGTATTCGTCTCTACTTATACGTTGAGGAACGAGGCACAAAGAACGAACAAGGACATGATCTAAGGATTGAAAAAAACCTACTATTGCGTATATAAATACTAGGCGCCCAATAAAACAAACCTTACAGATCTACATATAAAAATGTCTTTTCTGTTGATGATTATATTTGTTATTATATTTATAACATTTGTTTTCAATTAAATTTGAATCGGATAAAAAGCGTTGATAATTATAATGCAACAAATCACCACTTTTTGTATTTTGTCGTCATCCTTTCTGCTTATCTTAGTTCATTATCAATATCAGAATTCAGAATATGTGCACAGACCTGTTGTAATTGTGGGTGTCTCTGATCCCACACACTCCAGCAGTAATTTAGACGGAATACATAGTTATGACACACGTCATATATACTTGCAATTACATATCGAACATCAAGCGTAGAGGGACTAGGACTTTCCAGTCTATTTAAAAAGTGAGATAAATGAGAGTTTTGCCATGTATGTAAGTATTTCGAGCTACCTATTGTTGTCTGTTTTGACCACTGGCCATCCGTATTGATAACATCATCAGAATATATACAATAGCGTCAACACAAAAGGATGAAATCCTAACCCAAAGGCAAATTAAACATCTGTTGTGTAAAAATAATAGGCAAAATAATAACTTCTGAACGGAACTACTTTCACAGTGGATTAAATCTATTGCGTCCATTATTCCAAAAAGTATCAGCAGCTTGAAAACCAAAGATATTATTTCATGACCTAGATGTTCAATACAAGTATATATGTGGGTGTGAAGTTTGATTTTTTATTTCATTCTATTACAAAAGTTCAAAACCAATGGTGTAAGTGACATATCACTTCACACATTTTACTGGATACATTCCATCCTAGATCAATTTTGTTGTCACAATTAGTTACATGGTTGAAAGTTTTTTGTGTTATGTTCAAATAATTCCTATTCTAATTGTCCCATTGAATTGAGTTGTGAAAAATATACAGTCTGTATGTTCCATAAAATGTTTGAGAAAAAGGACTGGAAGGACATTTTTCCTTCAACCTTTATATTATTATTAGTAACTAATTTTTCACAATTCACTTCGATTAGTCAGAATGACCATACGTTTTAATTTTCCCTTTAGAGCTGACACAGGTACTAAATATAATTTGCCGCTAATATGAAAAAATACGAGGATAATAAAATATTATCCAGAACACATTTAAATGTGATAAGATAAAGGTGTACCAAAGAAGTGCCTTTAGTTACGCTGTCTATGGAAACCAAAAACAAAAACCTGATTCGAACGCAAAATCGATTAAACTAAGGCAAAATAAAAACAAAGGAAAGATTAACATAGAGACCCTTGAAAAAGTACACGATGAATAAAACCAGGTGTTCCGGAAGGGGAAGCGTCTTCTGCTTCGTCAAAGACCCCCGCCATGTAGATCTAGGTCCAATCCAAGTAGTGTCACGTCCTCTCTTCGAGAACTTGGAAAGTGACAACAAAAGCACAAGGCACACTAATGAGCACAGTCAAAAACATCAGCCTTCATATCACAAAAACATCAGCCTTCATATCACAAAAACATCAGCCTTCATATCACACAAAGAAATAGAGTATTTCCCAATGTAACATGATGGCGTCCATAGTCTTATTATAACCTGAAGGACGTTTACTGGAGTTGTCTCTCTTTAACTATCTTTCAGCAATATTCACCAGTGTTATCATAAGATGGGCAACACGAAACTTTATACTACCAGGTTCTGAATGCTTTTTATTGGTAACTACTATGCTCATTGAAATTGTTCCTGTGAACGCATTCTTAAAAACTAATACTATTTATCTTACTTTCGTTACTGTTACCAATACAATTAGTTCGTTTTAGTGTTTTTGTCAAACTGTAGGAATCGTGTAACTGCGCCGTGACAATAGTCATGGATGGCGGCTCACTAATAAAACCTTAACCTTTAAGACAACAGTTATGAAATATACGGATCAATGATTTCTGGGATTCAGACATTTACAAAAAGATGTTCAGGTCTAGCCTTTAAAAACGCCGACAAGAATTACTGATGGATTCCTCGAATTATTAGGGTTTATTACCGAATTAACATCATTATGTTGTCACTTAAATTTAGAAAGTTACAATAGTTTTGAACACTGAATAAAGTAACACTGATACGAAAAACGTGTTGTTTCAAAATTCATGTAATGAATCTGCATCATTTGCTTGTTGTACGACAGGTAAGATTCACGGCTACCTCTACCTTCCACAATAAACCGAGCAGGAGTTTACCTGGAGTGGTCGAAACCTACGGCATAGTTGTATCAATTGCATGTAAGAAACGAGGGTTATGCATGTGGGTATGGGGATGTGCCAATTCTACCGGTACTAATCATGGTTTCAAAACCATCATAATCTAGATTATGATGGACTCGTTTTCTTCTATCCCTTACCCATTTTTGTTGTAAAATTGAACACTGACGTTGACACTTATAAAACAGATTTTCTAATAACGTACAAATCACCCGTGGACATATTTTTAGGAAATTCTATGGTTTATCTGTCATCCCCCATTCTGTTGTACACCTATTTATAGTTCCCTCATTTGAACTACATGACTACTGCACTTTAATAGTGGACAGACAAATATAGGTCCTTGATAAGTCGACTATAAATGCAATATCATTCTTTGATACTCGTCACGAAATTAATTCGTTTGAATAAAAAAATAAAAAATAAAACACCGCAGTGTCACCTAAAACCGTAATTATAACTCGAAATAGACAAAACTAAGGTAAGTTATGAAGACTCAGAAGGAAACCCTAGAAAAATACAAGACAAATAATACCAGTTCTTCTGGAAGGGTAAGCGTCTTCTGTTCCATCGACGACACGTGCCAAGTGAATCTAGGTCCAATCCAAGCAATGTCACGTGCTCATAGCGGAAGCTGGGGTAGTATAAACTAAACAATAGGGCACGCTAATAAGCATAATCAAAATACGACCTTCATATCAGAAAAAAACATATGTCTTGTCCCCAATAAGATCATGATGGAGACCACAGTCATCATCAAGTTAGACGGTGAGTTAGTAAGTACTCAACACTGGAGTTGTTTCCCTTTAATAGTACGAGTAGCGGACAGTGCTATCTCACATAGCCAAAGCTTATCTTACATGACCAGCTATCCTGCATTGAGAGTTCCATATTGAATATGTTTGTCGTACGTATGTAAAGATTGGAGAAACCACAATCACACAAACTCGAAGTCATGGTTGGATTTACAAATGCAAGTAACATTGGTTTGCTTTCATCTATAGGACTGTGATACCATTTGGAGAAGAAAAATATATTTATAAACGTAACATTAAAGAATCCTGGACCATTAATGATCTTCCACTACAAATATCTAACATTATGTTCAGACATGTTAGCGAGACAATAATCAAAAAGCTTTCAGATAAATATAAGTTCAATGTTTTTAAATATATATTATCAAGAATGTATGCGGATATTACAGAAACACATGTGTTCACTGACTATTGTGAAGACTACAACTTAATCATCTTCACTTCATATTGTCTTAATTGCGATGTAACAATGTTACGGCATTGTCTTGACCGCTGTGTTGACCCCTCTCGACGGTTCCTTATCATAATGTCACTACAATGCTGTCCACAACTTCAAGACCGACATTAGGAAGATCGAAACGATGAGAAGTGAAAAACATCTATGCGACAGAACTAACGTATCAAAATACTTTTACAAACAGGCGAGCAATGGAGTTGACAGACATGTGCTGGTATTACAGTGTATCTGTATACTGTCCCTAGTCCATGGTAGTACTCTAGAGTTTACTGGTGGAGAAAACATTACTGACGCACTCAAAGCTCTTCAGTCGTACGTGAGCGACCTACGTGATAAACAGGAACTACTTATAGCTGAGATGAATTCTGTCAAGATCGAGCTTCAATACCAGAAGTTGTTAGCAAGGCAATGTTTGCAGCACCAAGCAGCGTCGAATAACCTTGCCACAAAGCAAAGCATCGGGATCTTTTTGACAGCTGGCAGCACACATGTTCCATATAGGTATACACAAATAAGATCGTTCTACTTACCAGAAAATAAAACTATCAAAAGGAAGATCGACAATGCTGTATCAAGCAC